AAACCGTTCAGCTATTGTAAATACAATCGTTGTTAAACAATAGCTAGAAGGTAAATGTCAGCATGGTTATGTTCGTGTTCGTTTCGGAGTTGTCTTGAACTGTTATTTAATCATTTTGCCTATTTTTAATTTTATTTGTCATAAATGCTATTGGTTAATCGTAAAAACCACATATTTTATTCATTTCTAACTAGCTAACACATCTAGGTAAACTTTTATCATCGAGTTTTTGTTTACCGGGCCATTTGCAAGATAGTAATTTTCGAAATAGTCTAAAAATGAATTAGTCTGCCTCGTCTACTAATAAGATTTGTTTTGATTTGCGAACATACATATGTTAGATAACTAGAAAAGCGGTACAAAAGCTAAGATAAACCCCTTGATAGGAACACTCTGAACCTGAAGCAGTGCAAGGGTGAGATGGTTATCGGCCTAGACAACTTTTCAACTGTGTAAATGAAGCAAAGCTAGCCATGACCATCAGTGCAGCTGACAACAATGAGATACACCACTCGTATTCCCATAGCAGCAGGGACAATATAAACAAAAAAAACCTGTCAGCCCTATACGTCAATGCTGTATCTATCCCGCGGCATTGTCATCACTAGTATCATTGATATATTGGCTTAAATCATCAGGTTTGTTGACGTTATTGCTATTTCTAATCTAACTGTTTTGATTAATTAACAATGAATGCGTCTCTGCTGGACGAACGTGTGCGTATCTCATTGTTTTTCTAAAACAGTATCGTCTATATCTAGTCTGTATAGATCATCGGTACCGACCGTACCGTTGTTGGGGGTAACAATTTGATTTGCTTGTTCTTCAACCTAAAGGTCAATTTATTTGATTTATTTAACTGACCTTCTAGTGCCTTCTAGGGACAAACTGGTAAGCTGCATTGTACACGTGAGTTCGAGACGTCACTGAATCGGCTGGTTGTGAATTCCTAGGAACAATGAGAGTATACTAATTATGACAAAAACGGGCCTCATATATTACCGACAAATGGTGGCTGGAATTGGAAATAAAATGTTCTAGTTGACTAGAATTCGTTGTATCAAGTTTCGGCTCTGACATTTTCCAGGAAGCAAACATTAGAGTCCACACAGTCCTCCCGAATAAATGGGATTTAGCTCTAAGTATCTTGTAGAAACAGGTGCCAAAGTAGCTTCCCTCAACTTCGTTTAACATTCGAGTAACGATCTTACTAGGTCTCAGTGGCATACTGCTTAATGATGGCCAGGTCATCATTTATAGCCGTAAAACCTAGGCTCGTCTACGGAGGAAACCTCACACAATGCATGCCCAATATTTTGTCTCAGACGGTGTGAGAAATTAGCATTTGATTGACGTTTTACGTATGAGGTCCCATAATGGAAACCGAGTTTAATCGTTGAAAGTTGTCAGGTTGAACAGAACGCTGAGTTTAATAATAGCCCTCGTAGTGTGCCCTATTCCTGGTCTCTTTGAATAGCTTCTGCCGTTGGTAGATTTCTGGGGTGCTGCTTAGGAACCACGAGTGCACTTTTTTCTCTCTCCCTCCCTCTCTCTCTCTCTCTCTCTACCCCTCTCGTTATTTATGTGTCTGTGTACAGTTGCTTTGGCTAGATTCAGTCCGGAGTATACTAAGCGTTTTCTCTCGAAGCATATCCGGAAATCCCCCACCTCATCCGCATGTCAAAATCGCGGTTTGAAGGGTACCGATAGGGGCGCAAAGGCGCTGGTGGTGGCGACGGTTAGGCCACATCCGCTGTTTCCACGTGTCCTTACGGCGTATATAATCAGCTGCTAAAATCCAACCCTGACAGTGTCGTTTGTTCAACGCCACGGATGGTTATTTACCTACGATCTGCTCGACAGTATTCAGCGATCAAGTGCTTAGTCAGAGCTGACTGGCCATGTTAAGCCTTATGTACTGCGGCTCCTCCTCGCACTGCTCTCGACAGTGACAGCCGTTGGTAAGAGCGCCCGTGGCACTAACATGAGCTTCCGATGGAGACGTGACTATCATTGTCGCCGGAAATAGCGAACGCAGTTCACTGGCCGCAGCCGATGCTGTTCCTTTGCGCCTTGCCTCACCCGTCTGTCAATATACCGTCATCAAATTTGACGTGTTCTTACTAAAGTGTGCTACAGAACATGTTAGCGACACTCATCATGCGCACATACGTAAATGATAAATATAGAAGAATGCGTGCAGATACACGGTGCAGGTATAAACATGCATGCACGGAGACGTCCGTTGTTGACGTAACCAATTTCGGTCTATGATAAATGACACGAGTCTGTCGAATGTGGACAATCTCAAGATCACATTACAAATACCAGTGCTTACCATGAATATTGTGCCGTTTACGAGGACGCTTAGCACAGGATCTCTTTACAAGCTCAAAACAAAACGTATAGTTTTAGACAATTTTTTTACGCGAATCGAGCGTAATTGCCAAGTTCTTTATTGCAAATAGTCACCTAGCTCCCTATGCATAGAGTGCGTAGTTCGGTAGACCGCTTTTTGAACAATTTCATAGGAAAAGCCCAGTGATGTAATTTATGTAAACAGGGATGTCATGGTACGGATGTTCTGTAACATATTGCAAGTCAAACTTCTCTTTCAATAATTTCGGTGTTTTGAATACGCTACGGTAGGTGGCATTGTTCTGAGGATGCCACGTGGCTGCAGGCAAAAATTTCGCCATTACTTAGGCAGGACAGATGGCTAAACACGTGCACGAAACAGTACAATCACGGTTGGCTTGTAAATATGTTCCGATCCACTTTTTATTGTATAGCTATAAATAAATAGTGACCTTTTTTCCATTCCGTGACACGAATAGCTTGCCAAAGCAGCTGTTGTATGCCTTTTTCAATATAGGACAGACGCATCCATCACTGACTTTTGTCTGCTGTTGGATTAAAACATTAGTAACCATTTATACAAAAATTGTGTAGGTTATACAAGCCGAGGAACGATAGATCGTGTGCAACTTCTTCTTTTATAAATTTATCTAAAAATAACTGCCGCGCCACATAGATAATTAGGTGCATACGTGAAGGCAAACGTCGCATAGAGGTGCGGCCGAAATCCGAAGATGAACTCCCAGCTAAACGATGCCCTTAAAGGTGAAATGTTGTCAGCTAAGTTCAACAATATAGGCCAGCGATCCTTAAACTTAGTAGATGCCTTCGACCGCTTGAAACTTGATTGAACCCAAATAAGGTGGTTCTGAAGGACCAAAGTGTTTTATCCACGCTATTCCATGTCGGCAGGATGTAAAGTTCTACATTTGATATCCGGAATAACAGTGTGAACCAGTAAGTTCTACAAAAAGAAATAGGAATTGTTACTTTTTTTTAGCGAAATAAAGGCACTGAGAAAATGGTCTTTTAGTGAAAACAATCTGTTGAATTTGATAGATTCTGGAAAGCTTCTGCCGGACGCTCTATTATCTATGACGCAGTAGCTCTAAACATACGGTGCATTTTTCTCAGAAGCGGATCTCCATACGCACGTATATAAGGTACACAGTTAATATATTTTAAAGTACAAAGCTGGAAAAAACTCAACTAGGCGAAAATATTCCCATTCAAGCTCTCTCGTGTTAATTTTCTAAGTATTTCAATATAACAAGGACTGTTGAGGATCACTGTATATTGCCAACGCCATAGCTTGAAACTTTCTCAAGTCCAACTGGGTGCTTCTTCATTAATCAAGCCAGATTTGGTACTGCGATGTTGATTTGCATGATCTTGGAAGAACCCGTTCTACGGGGGCAGATAGACTGAAGAAAACAAGCAACTAACATATTCATTAATCGCGCTTCGTTCTCTGTTATGTCGTGTCGCCGTACCAACAGGTTCCCATTCTTTCGGACCTTTTCTTGACCTTGTAACACAGTATCCAAAATCGATTCGAATGAAGACCCAGAAAAGGCACCGTGTAATACAACGTGTGCTAACCAGCACAACGCTAATTACACCATTCACAAGCTTGTGACGGGATGTTAGTTGTAGGATATTGAGGGCTGATCACAGCCTGTCCAACTTCAGATTCCTGAGACGAGTTTTTTACCTCAGACGGAGGCTATATGCGCCTCTGGAGAAACTGGGTAGAATTCAGAAATGAGAAGTCATAGCCAGCGGATGTTCCCACAACCGTTATTATCTTGGATGTTAAATTAGACCCGTTATGTTTTACGGCAAATGTTTGTAAACGCATTAGATTTTGCCCAGAACTGGCTGGACTGATGAGGCGATTATTGGCAGGTTTGTTGTCGCGGACGTCTTCGTACAATTGTAATAGAAAAACCACTTCTATGTCCACAATATAATACAGGATATATAATATTACATAACTAGCCTTATTTATGACTCTAAAAAAATTACAGATACATTGTAATCTATATTTTCTCCCTTTGAATACTAGATTAGTTAAGCCACGCGATCTAGCTGAATACGTACGGCACCTCATAACTTTTTGGTGCATAAAAAGTCGACTAGAATAGAAAATTATTTAGCGATTTTGATCTATACAACAGAAGCATTATGAGGTCAATTTACCTATATATTTTAATAAATTCAGTAGATTTTAGTTATAGCTATCAAGTTCACTTGAAGTATACGATGAGTATTGGTTCGTATATACGGGATGTGATCTATTCGTAGTTGGTATCTATTTCGAAAACACTATACCTGCAGCTAGCTATCTGGTCAAAGTGAAAAATAGCTGTCGTCGCATCGTCTGTTCTCTTAAAAAATACAAACTTAAATTTAATAATTAGCTTTAATTTTCTTAAACTTACTTTAATTATAAACTCACATTTTCTAAGTAGCTTTTATTATCTGATAGGGCCTGCTAATCAATAAACCTGCCACTCCTGGCGTCGCATTTAAAAAATGTGCATTGGCATAGATGACCACAGAGCTCGTCCTGTTAAGCCGTTACCTTTTTTCTTTATTCTTTTCTTTTATAACGCCACTTCGTTACCACCACTTTGCAGGATTCCATTGAACAGTGGCTTACGCCAGACAAATGAACAAATGAAACGTACGTCAGACGCCCAAACAGTGACTAATTCTACTTCGTAAAGCACCTCAACCAAAATTCTTTTCCTTAGCAACCCAATGCCTTCAGTTCAAGTCAAGTGAGTCAACGCCCCAACGCTCTCCGAAGCCTTCTGAGCGTCTGGTGCCTCGTTCCGCCCATCCGCCAACTCAGTCAGCCGCTTTCCGATGGTGGTGGTCATGGTGCTGTTGAGACTCATTTTCCTTTTGCCCTAGACGGTTTTGCGTCTCCATCCTCCTCATTGTCGACGGCTCTTTGCACGGTCATTTAGAAGAAGAATAGCTCAGGTCCTTGTTGCGGACAGAACTGGGGCTCTAGAAAGACGTGGATAGGATAACGCTGGCGGCGGCTGAGGGTGCGCGAAGTAATGACAGCGTGATGGCGGGCTTTTCAAATGTTTCGGCATTTCCCACTACCCAGAGAGGAGACAAGAGCAACGACGACCAGCGCCAAATAACGAGATAATAGATAGACAAACGCTACCATCGAAATCGTTGACGGCGTCGAAGACGATGGCTGCACTGGCGAGAACAGAGGTGGCGGCGGCCGATGCAACGAGACCAACGTTTTCGCGCACTTAACCAGTTCAAATTCGCAGGCGACTACACTCGAGACAGCAGCAGTTTCGACCGCAGCTACCAAATGAAACGTCTCTCTTGTGGATTCGGTCCCGTCCATATCATTGCTGCAGCTGGCGTCGTTTGACAGGGCGGCCCCTGCGGACCGTTCGAAGTCGATGGTGCTGACCACAAGAAGGGTGCTCAAAGACAAAACGATAGACGCTAGCAGGGTAACAAAACGGTGTCGATTAGACATGTACATGCATGCCAGTGGTTTGAAGTGAAACAAGCCGAAAATGAACTCGAAAGATATCTGGGCATAGATGGGGCATATGGGAGTGCGAAAAAGTACTTTATAACTCAGGAAAAATTTCCAGATAAGTCAACAGGGGGCGGTGGCCTATGAACGAGTTTACATGGTGCTTGTCGTTTAGCCCCACTATTACTAGCCAGATTTTAATCAAATGGATAATTGAGTAAGCTCTGATCTTGTACAATTTTCCAAACGAGCTTACACTTGTGGACGCCTTGATAGGCGTTAAAATAGCACCTACGAAACATTTACATCACCATTGGTGACATGACCATCAACAATGATTATTACAAAACACACCCCCTTCATCGTATATATATACACATGTATATGTATTTTTATAATCTGTCCATCCTCCGTTTCAGGCGTTACTGTCAATCAGCACGGCTGTGTCTATGTCTGTCTTTGCTGCTATATGTGGCTACTGATAGTTAAGCGGCATGGAAAAAATCGGCTTGGACACGTCACATCAAATTAATGCTAGCCTTCGAATCCGTTGTAGTATATTTCATCAACATAAAAAACAACAATGTCGGATTTTTTCTAAGTGAATCTGTGTGCATTTCTATATATCTCTATGAGTTGAGGCAAAAAGACGAGCGAAAATAGTAGGAAACCGTAAAGGGAAAAAGGATGTGGAAACCGGAATGGCAAAGTCCCAAGAGAAGGAGAAGCTACAACTATAGAAGTCAAAGTTATCACCCGAGTAGTAGTCTCGTGTACTTCGCCTAGAAAAGTTTTTTTTTTTGCCGCCGACAAACACGGGAAAAGGGGCGGCTTCGGCTTGCCGTGGCCATTTCGACCGTGGCAACTGTGCTAACGGCTGTTTAACAGAGAAATCTGTTAACAAGAACCCCACCAGACAGATAAGATAGAAGCACGAAGTAATATCCGGACGAAAGGAATAGCTTGCATGTAATATAATAACAACCAATAAAGTAGCTAGCGATAATATAAGTGCTTATTCTATTACTATACCATATTTGTATGAGGTTGTTTTTGGCGTTTTGGCGATATAGGGTCTATAGCCGTATTTTGTCCTAATGAAAAATACTCAGATGACTGTAATAAAAAAAACGTCAGTGCTCTACCTCGCACACTTTATGCACCGTCCTTCCTTCTATGTAGACAACAACTGGATAGAAGAAATTTGTGGTCGAAACAAAATACTCGGACCGGCCGCTACCACGGGTAACAATTATATAAATACCCCTGGTATACTACTAAACGCAATATGTTTCGTCAAGGTAGAACAAGTCGAGTACGTTTAATATATAGCCTTGTCTTTATTTACTATCTTGGTTTGATTTTCCTGGCGAAGTTCACGCGGGAACGTATACGTAAATAAATCATATGCAATTCAGCGTGTAATCATTTACCACATAATGTATGTCTATGTAGAAAAAGCTTTCTTCTGCTATAGAAATTTCAAAAGAAAAGTAGATGCATTTGTATGAAATTTTTCTAGAGTATTTGAACAAACGAACAAGAGTCCTTTGTAGATTTGTAGTACGATAGTTTCTTTTCCATATATTATAGTAGTATATTTGATCTTAGGAACAATAACGGCTTCAATTATATGTGCACCTCATAAGCATCTCTTGCTCATCTTCCAAACAAAAGTAGCTCATATAAACTGGTGTTTGTTGACAACCTACTGTTGAATCTTGTAGGGCTCATCCGAAGACTCCAGCTGCAGCTCAGTATCTGCAATGATAAAAATACATGACGGTACTTCATCCTTGGTAAAATAGTCAAGAACCTAAAAATACTAGGCAAAAAATCGGTCTTTTTACCGTCCGAGAAATCGCTGACAGGAGAAGATTATGATCTTTAGACAACGAGCAATTGTCAGGACGTTCGTTTTACAGCGACAGAAGGGTTGCTGATCGCCATAAAGTACAAACGATACCGAAAGGATCCGCTGTGTAGTTACCATACAAGCTTATCAACTTCGAACAAAGGCAACAACGACGAAAATACTTTTTGACACAAATAATTATTTATCGAACGTGTTATTTATTTTTAGCCATTGGCCTGTGGCGTGTCATTTCGGAGATATGTCGCGCAGGTCTCGCGATGCTGTCACAAAATGGAAACTTAGGTTCGAGGTTGCCTTTTGTGTGTTGAACCTATTCGTTTGTTAGAGCTATAATAACGAGCCTCTAAGTAATCATTTGCCTTTATTTTATCAATACTGATATGCCATTGCATCGAACATTATCTATAATACGCGATTGCTGGGCTCAGTCTAAAAATAGATATTAATGAACTGTGACTCTTCCTAGTTGAACCTCTAGGTAACAATAATCTGCTGACTGGTATAAAGCCAAGTTTCTAATTTACCACATTGAAATATAAAGGAGGGGTATATATATATATATATATATATATATATATATATATATATATATATATATATATATATACACCAACGGAGTTTGACTATTCATAAAAATTTTATTTTACGACATTGTGGACCATCTGTTATGTACCAGAAACTAAGTAGGGTCCTGAGAAATGTTCGAACGCGAGGGTCGATCGGATATCTTAAACAGCTAAACTATGTCAAAAAAGGCAAACAATATACCAGATAAATGTCTTGTCTACTATCTAAAAGAAAGAGCATTAATTAGAAACAAATTCAAATAATCTAAGAGCCTTAATGTAAGGGCCTGTAAACACGTAAGATGAGGCCACTGACTCTCTAACAGAATTCCCTCCATGGGTAGAATGTCATAGCTGACAGCATCGGCTATAGCAGTGCGGTTTGATTCACCCACTGCTGTATAATTTATTCAATTATAAAATAAAATAATCGATTATTTTATTGCGGTTCTTTACTAGCCGGTTCAGTATTCTGTAGTCAATTCTGCACTGATCCGCCTGTACACTTAAAGCTTACCACGCATGAGGTATATAGCACTGTTTAGCTACTTTTTAGTCATGGATTTTTTGTAGAAACATATTAATTGTAATATAAATGTGTCCAAAGGGGAGATGAGTACATCGACTTTTGCATAACCGGCGTCCTACATAACCTAAGGTACTGGCTGCTATATCAGAGGATGAGATTATTATAAAGTAATATTATGTGCACGAAGGTCTATATCTATCGTCAACGGCTTGTTTTATCATAGAGCTTCGGTGCTCGACTGGCCGTGTATTGGCTCCGTTTCGACTTTTTGGAAGGAATCCTTTGGCATAGATGTCGTCATTTTCTGTGCAATGCACCAACGCAATACGGTGGTTAAAATCATTAAAATCCTAAATCATAAAAATAGAGCCACTTGATCCTCAGAGATATGAATTGAGCTTTATGTCTAAAATCAACTTCTGATAAATAAAATAAAATGAGACACCAATATTACTCTTTTAGAGAAAAACAAGGGCTGCCTTAAGTCCAGACTCTAGCCATTATCACAGTGAAGATAATGACGCTCTCAAAAGAAGTTGCATAACATGCTCGTTTCATGTACATTCTAAATTATTATAATATATTATCGTGTCTCTTAACGTTTGTATACCTAAGGAAATCTTTTTTTGATACCTAAGGAAAGGAAGGTTTTTAGGACCTTAATATCGATAGATTATTGCCAACGCTAGGACTGGACTACAGGCTAGACTTCAATGCATTTCGACTAGTGACCTATTCAAGCTTAATCTTAGCCTATAGAAACTTGGCAAATGCTAGAAACTGCTCTTCGATCGAGGAAACATGCACCGAAAAGGTTTGCGAAAATGCCCCACAATGAGATTGACTGCGATTGCACTGAAGTTAGACTTTTTACAATCGAGTATAACTAAAACCGTAAGGTTTTTTTCGGAACCAGGTTGAGGTATGCAGCTGGATGACCTCGACTGAGCGGCAGGAGCCTCATTAGAATCCGTACCAGATTCTGTATTCTTTGTCAATTACAAATAAATTTCATTTGACGAACGTACGAATGGGTTAGCCCCATTTGAGATAGGCCATAAGGATGGCCAATAGGCTTTATTTGCTGTTTTGGAGAGTGGTGGATAAAAATGGGCCCCACTTGAACGAGGAAAGGTTATAATCATCAATCCAATTTATTCAATTTTTAGAAAAACGGGTTATTTTTCAAATCAAACATTGCATGGCTCAACTCAATGTAGGTTACGTATTCAAATAGGTTGCCCTTATCTCTTGCAGGCCTATATGTAATTCTTTAGAGGAAATAAGCCAAGCACCAGCTGTATGCAGGCTTCCAGATTCATCAACAAACCAGAATATACACATAAACAAACATACATTTTTCCCATATGTCCTTTCGATCGTCAGCATATAAAGTTGGGATGGTTGACTTTTGCGCATTTACATTTACCAATACATATTGGAGTACATATGTACATATATATACTTCTCAGAAGCTAGAGACGTGAGTGTGCTGGTAGACATAGTACACTGCTTGGTGACGGTAGCATCACACTTTTATTAGCTGGAACGAATGATGTATTTTCATGGTATTACATTCCCCCAGTTGATTGGCCTTTTCGATCATGGTTCTCAAAGAAGTTCCGACGCTGAAACAGCTCCACTGGCTCCTGAAGTTTGTATAGAAAAACTATAAACGTTGGGTTTGTCATTTTGCTTTTATATTTGCTTTAGACTAAAACTAGGCTTTCAGGTTTTCCGGTCGTTCGCTGTATATCATTTTCAGTGTGCGGAATGCCGCTGTATACGTGAAATCGACCTTTTGGTTAGGCATAATTGCTTCTAGATTCATCTTTTATAAAGTAATCTATTATAACGGTTTCTCAAAGAAGAAAAAAATTACAAATCTCTAGAAGTGTAGACGTATCACAAAGGGCTATATAATAGTGGATTTTATGTAAGCGTTTTAGCTTTAATCTGATTTACACGAATATCGCCGATGTAAACCTTGCATTCCTTTTCCCGCAAAGCCATAATCATAAAGCGATTGGACCTTGGAAAATATTGTTTCATAATGGGAAAATAACACATCAAGCTGGCGCTTTCGAGGCTGACGTTCTAATTTCTAGATTATATTACGGACGAGTTTAGACGAAGGTGATCACTGCCTTATAGCTATGCTAGGCATCCATATCTTTATTTACGAAATAGAATAGTTACGACAAAATCTTGCCGTTTTTTTGCCTAAAATTCTCTTTCAAATCACCAATGGCAGTAGAGCCTTTGAATAAAATTGCTCGAACTCGAAGCTATGCATTTACCTAGAAACAGGGCAGGCGATTACAAGCATTGCGTTAGATCAAACTATCTCTGGAGAAGTTCAGCCTGACCTTATTGGCTATGCCTAAACGACTTCGGTAGCGCAGGGCATGCCACGAGTCACAAGAGAGACTCATTTCAGCTGTAAACTCTGCTTGTCCATGTCTTCTATTTGAAGCTTAAAACAGGAGACGTTGTTTATAGTATCACGCAAAGGATACAGCGACAACTTAGCTTGTGTACCGAATACCTATCAATCTTCAATGAATTTGTCTGTTGTAAAACATGTTCCAATGGAGTATTTAATAATTATCACATATTGGCTATACAGAAATTCTCGTCTTTAAAACAGGCCTGTCCTGGTCAGGAAAAACCTACTGATTTCTTTGATTAGCCTGTGTCCGACGACTTGCAGCTTAACAGGGCTCTAATACAATGTTCCTTTGCATGAAGGCAAAACGAGCGCCATATGTTGTCGAGTACGCTGGATCGGTTATCTCCGGGAGGGAACTGCTAAGACAACTCGTTAGACTGCTCGTTATCTGCCAGAGAAGTGCAAGGGCTACCAAAACTACGGGGTATGCACTCAAGATGAGCAAATATAAGTAGCCATCACACTGAAGCTAAGGCCTAATCCTGTGCGTATATGTGGGCGCATAGAGGCTAATGTGGGATTATCCTAAAACCGGTTGCTGATCTTTCTTATACAAGCTTTCGGACCGTTCTTTCATCGTAAGAACTTTTTCACTGATTGAAGTTCGCTAAAGAGTCTTGGAACTGCTGAAATTGATGCGGAAAGCCATTGCTAGTGTAGAGTCTTGTGCAGCTAACGCTATATTGGAAAAACCAAAGTTGAGTTCCTACTGAAACAATAACTGAAACGGTTCTGACTTGACTTTA